GGAAGGTAGTACAAAAACTAAACGGCTGCAGTACAACGGGATTCAATCGTCTTCTGCTGATGAGATCGACGTACGAATCTATTCTTCATGCGCTTTCATACGAAACGAAAATCCCCTCAGCAATGAATTTTCCAGTAAAGCCGATCGACAATTAGTTAAGAGGAATCTACCGTCGTCTTCTGGTGGGATCGACCTTTGAATTTCTCAACAAACACTTTTGCTCGAAATAAAAGTAAGCTCAATACAATAACTACAAGACTAAACCCGAAATAAGGTTATACTGCAAGGTTATGATTGGAAGTTTCGTCACCTGCCCTGCAAACAGGGACGCTCATTAACCTACATACACTTAATCTGAAACAATATATTGTTGTGAAGACTTCCATTTTGTATGGAAGTATCTTGTCAAGAGGTTCGTAGGTCAATCTCAGCAGAAGGCGCCGGCTGATTTGCGTTGTACTGCATCCATTTCGATGTAATACGACGTTTAGTTTCATGCAGTCCATGAGACATCCTTCAAAATTCCGGGAGAAGATGGACTGAGATTGCCTTTGTCATGCGACAAACATCTTCAGAGCTGGGACTCATTCTTGCAAAAGCCTCAAGTTAGCACAAAGTCAAGAAGATTGATCCGCTTTTAGATGATTCTATGTATTTATGTTTTATGCATGTCTGTTCATCTGTATGTGTTCTGCATTTTTGTATGCTTGTTGTACATATTCGTGTATTTCCGTTCATGGGTATAAAGTGATTTATTTTTATGATTAGGCAAGCATTGTAAATTTTTACTTAGACGGTTTACTTTCAACTTTCAACTTCAATATTCTATCCTTTTTTATTTTCGCATATTTGACGTTATCAATACTAGCCTCCTTATCATTTCTTTCTATTCTGCGCTTAACTTATCATCTTTTAAAACTGTCCGGGTTTTTTTATTACCTTCGGGCTATCATACGATCCCATTGTGGAAATTCCATGTGAATATTCACTAGATTTTCGTGACCTGCATGCTTAAGTAAGTGAATCACCTTAACGCATTTGTCATTAAAAAGTTATTTATCAATGTTTTTAGCGCTAAGTGCTTTCGTCTAGCTGAAAAGTATACAAACTGGTATTGTTTTGTTTAATAGGTTATGATTGCATAAAATTTGTACCAACTGAATGCCAACGGTCCGTCTCACCTGCCCATTTTTGCCCTCATCCTCGTCCGTTGCCTCAACTCTGCCCACCAATGTTCCAGACGGACTGTTCTCGAGCACGGAAAAGAAGTAGAGATTTGTGAACTGAGGTACATGGTCGTTTTCGTCGAGAACCCGCACCACCACCATGGACGTGGCCGTGAATGCTGCTGTCGACGGCTCCGCCTGATCAGCGGCGTAGACCAGAAACCGTCGCTCAGGCTCAACTTCCCGATCGAGGATGGCGTTGACATGCACCTCACCCGTCACCGGATGCACACTTACCCAGGACTCAGCTTCAGGAGCCGCCCAGTAGCGCAATTGCCCGTTTCGACCGAAATCCGCGTCCGTCGCGTTGACACGACCGATCAGACGGCCCGGAGCCGAGTGCTCGGGCAGACTGAGCTGGAAGACGGGACGAGTGAAGACGGGCTGATTGTCGTTTTCGTCGAGCACGGCGATGTGGACTCGTTGACTGGCCATCAGAGGCTGTCGTGGATCATGATCTCGACAGGTGATGACCAGCTGAAAGACGGACCGTTCCTCCCGGTCCAGACGTTGCGTAGATACCAGTTGGTAGGTGCGCGAGCCTGGCGCAATCGGCACGGCCTCGGGATCCTCGGCGCTGTCCTCGTCGACGGTCTCCTTGCCTCCAAATCGTCTGGCCGACTCTGCCTGCAGCCGGAAGGCGTCCGTCCGCTGAAGGCTGCACGATACCAGACCACCGGGTCCAGTGTCCGGATCCGTGACGAAGACACTCGCGACTGGCTGTCCCGGAGCTCTGTTCTCCCACACTCCGAACACACTCCTCGATTCCCGTCTGGGCCCGCCCTCGAACAGCCTCGTCGTCAGGCCCGGCATCGCGCTATCGTAGACCGGAGGCGGTCGAACCGAAAGGCCGGTACCGACGAGACGTTGATGATCGCGTACCGACGTCAACGGACTCACCACGATACTCGGCGGGGCGTCATTGACGTCAACCACGTGGACGACGAGCAGAGCACTCGAGCTCAGGGGTCGACCGGTTCGTGGGGAGTCGCGAACAATCAGCGGCAGCTCCAGTTCAACATCGCCTCGTCGGTCTCGAGTCATCGAATCCCTGGAGTCGGTCGACTGGCTGGCCGCAGCGGCCAAAGCCTCGTAGTTGAGCGGCAGACGGAGTCGAACCTCGCCCGTACTCGACTGCACACTGAACTGGTCCAAGGCGGCCTGACCGCCCGGAGCGGATGTGTCGATGGCGTAGGCCAGTCTTGCGTTGTCGCCAGCGTCGGCGTCGCTGGCTTGAGGCCAGGCAACTAGACTGCCCACTTTAATATCTTCGGCCAGCGTCACCTCGTATCGCGGCAACACGGCCTCGGTCGTGTCTGCGCCGCGTCGACTCGCCGGCCGGTCATCGTCGTCTCCGGCCGACAGATGACTCGGTACCGGGGCCAGCCAAACTGGTGCATTGTCGTTGGCGTCTGATATGAGGATGCGCAGGCTCAGATGACTCGACCTGGCAACAGGCCGTCCGCCGTCCAGGGCAACCAAATTCAGGTCGTAAGCGGAGACGACCTCACGGTCCAGTCTGCCCTTCAAGACGAGGCTGGCGCCGTCTCGAGTGCGGCGCAGACTGAAAGGCTCCAGGAGCTCGTTGGGCAGCAGCGGCCAAGACTCGGCTCCCGGGCGAC